TGGCAAAACACGTCCGGATGGTTAGATGCCCTAACTCTCAATGGCGTTTCTGTGGCGTTCCATTCATGATTTAATGATTTGTGAGTCTCCGATCACTACATGCCTACATATATACGGCCGATGCACCAATACACTCTCACGTTATTCTCCAAAATTTCTTATATCCGAACTCGAATCGGCCAAAAGTGTTACACCAAAGCAGATTGGTGTCTATGGATCGGATGTCTGGTTTTAATTTTCTGGACATCAGATCAAGAGATCCAACAACCGAACTTTGCATGGTTGTATTGATTTGTATGAAAAGTAGATGAAAATTTCACATTGAAAAACATTTCCATAATTTTTGTCAAAATTCCAGATTTCATTATAGCTAAGAAGGGTCTGACGGTACTGGTTTGTATCAAAGCAGATGAAAATTACAAACCATACGCGCATAGGAGTACTTGCATCACAAATGATGACAAGAATGAGTGCGCGTCCGGCGAGTTCTTCCTGTCGCGTATACTTACATCACAGGCTAATTTTAACATGATCGCCCATCATCTTGGCAGTGGCACGGCGACGTTCCAGTCGTACACCGTGACGTCGAGGCCTGCCGCGGAGTCCCGAAGCACGCGCCGGAGGTCGACGGCGTGGCCAGGGCTCCTGGCGAGCAGGAGGGCGAAGCCGCCGCCGCCGGCACCGACGAGCTTGTAGCCGCAGCAGTAGGGGTCGGCGAGCGCGAACAGCTCGTCCACCAGGCTGTTGCTGCAGAAGGGGTCCAGCTCCTGGTGCAGCCCCCAGGCCTCCAGCATGATGCCGCCCAGCTCGTCCACCTCGCCGTTCATCAGGGCCTCCCTCCCGGCCCTGGCCAGCTCCGCCAGCCGCCTGATGCTGGAGATCAGCAGGCTGTCGCGCCGCAGGTACCGCGTCACCACCTTCTCCAGCACCCGGTGCGCCAGCCTCACCTGCCATTCGTTCATTCGTTCGATGAAATGCACGGTTCATTCAGGTTTCAGGCTGTGATTTTCACATGATCTGTCCATGCAAAAACAGAGGATGCAAACTTACTTGGCCGGTGAACACGACGAGGAGACGCTGCTCCAGTTCCTGGATCAACTGGGGAGATGCCAACAATGGAACAACCTGCAAGCGCAACGGCTGTCCTGGGAAGCTCTGGGTGCACTTGATCCCGGGATACAGGCCACCGATTTGGTCCTGCCACCCGCCACCGGTGCCCATTATCTGCTCTACTACCAGCACAGCCCTGGCGACATTATCATCGCCTCCATCGTCTTCCATGAGTTGGAACAGACACTTGACTACAGCAGCCGCCAGTATGCTCGAAGTTCCGAGGCCGCTTCCGCGAGGAACATTTGCCCAGGTCCTGATCTTCAGACCTGACGTCGAGAGCAATTCATGGCCAAGGATGCCGGTGACGATGAGAGCAGACTTGACTAGACGGAATGGGTCGTCTTCTTTGAATGGACAAGAGATGGATGACAGATCATCAATGCAGACCTTTCTGTCGACGTCATCTTCGATCAGAACTCCATGGTGGTCTTCTGTTGCCTCTGTCGTAGCCCCGACTGGAAGGCGCCCTTCTAGGCTTATCGCCATGTTCAGAACACAACCTGGACGCTCCAAGCTCCATGGAGGTGTATCACTCCAACCCCCAACAAAGTCCACACGGACCGGTAATTCTACTACAACCTTCTTAGGACGCAGGTTTCCATTGCTTGACGTCGTTGCACTGCTTGATGGTTCTATAAGAAATGGTGCATTTGTTGATCAGGGTAATCACAGTGTTTATAGTAAGAAAATAGCACTAAACTCATTGCCTATGAAGATTCCATTTTTCTTCCATAAAGAATACTGGATGTAGTATTTTAAATTTTAGAAAATACAGTGTTCTAGTAAGATCATTTGCATGGAATGGAACAGATGCAAGATCATCTAGAACAGTACAAGGTTTTAGTGTTTTTAATTGTCTACAGTACGTACCTTTAGACCCATATTTTATAGCTGATGCAGTTTCACTTGCAACAGAAGCCCATACTTTCTCTTCAACCAAAGAAGCGGTAGAAAGATCTCCAGAAGCTCTAAGTAGATCCATTTTGACCTGATATCCTCTGCTCTGAGGAAGAACACCAGAGTACTGATCCCCGTGACTTGGACAAAATGTAAGTAATTCTTTACAGACTTCTACACTGGAACTATCATTTCCCAACATTTCCTCACACAGCTGAAACAGGTTCCGCCCAAGCAAGCCATATGTCATGCAACTTTTAGCTACGGCGGCTGCAAGATCTGCTTGATGCTTGGCTGAATCCATGCAAAGCTGATGGTAGTCGATTGACCGATGCAGTTCTTCCAGGCTGACTCTCCGTGATTTTCTCCACATGCGACTAACTTTGCCATCTGGATCACATCCTGACGATCCCATCAGCCACAGGCCTACACTCAGCATTTCAGGGGGAGACATGATGGGAAAAAGCCTAGCATTCCATAAGCACTTGTCAAGGTTGGATGTGTCCCAAATATCCGTATCCTGGATTTTAAGATCTTCCAAAACATTTTTCCATGGCTTTCCACAGAATGTCCCATCCCTATCCATAGAAACTTTTGGATTGTCATGAAGGCCACAATAGACCATGACTCTTCCCATGGAGTTTACCAATGGCACTTCCCAAAGGCAATGCCGATCGGGTAGCGTGAAACAGGTGCTACTCCCGATAATTTGAGGACTATCCCCATGTAACTCATGTATATTCACCCCAACAACGATTGACTGAGAGCCAATCCTTACTCTGCCTGAAAGTGATGAATCATAAACCAATGAATCCTCTCCAATTGATACCCCGGCAGAAATTTTGCTACACAAAATCACTGTTGTCGCAGCAATATCACAAGCAGTGGTCTCTGGTACCGAACACATGTGCCTTCGACCCACAAGTCCTGAATATGAACCCGCCAAATGATCAAGAACCTCAGCAGATGTACCAAAATGCAAAAATGAGAAGTCATCTGAAAAGGAAAGTAGTCCCAACTTAGCATTCTATTTGCACAACTGGACCAAGAAAACAGATGAACTATTCATAAATCGACGAAAGCTTAAGCATAAGCTAGAGATAGAAAATCTATATAATACAGTACCACAAAGCAAATAAGCAATCATAACAAGATAATAACTATATATAACCAGGGACATACATGAACAAAAGCTGAACATCTTATGTCTTCCTAAAGCAGCAATTAGTTCCTTGCCAAATGGACGGTCCCTCAACCATTCATGCTTGGTTGGTACCCATGCAGCCACAAGATCTTCATATAAACTCAGCTGCAGTAGATTGACAAGTATGAGCAGACATAATGAAAGCTAAAATGGAACATCGTTAATTATGTCTTTGAGGCTAGCAGTTTAAATTAAACATGGTAAGATAAGAACAGTTGGATTTTGAATATTTTCTTTATTTTCCCCTTGCTTTCGCAAGAAATCTGTTTTCAATACGAGACACAGTGATCTTGTCCATCTGTTAGTGTTTCTCTTTGGCAGAAAAGTGACCATTCAGATAGACAATACACATTCAATTCCTATAACAAAACGTGTCCGGCTGCCCGCCTATCAGGGGTAAGAGCAAAACAGACTAGGTCAACATAAATTGCAATTTGGTACTTTTCAGGAATAGCAAAATGTACACAAATTCATCAAGTATTTTTGCATAATAATCGCACTGACATAATTTCCTGAACCTAGTTTGCATAAACATAAATTGGCTGTCGTGCGGCATGCAAAAGTGGTTATGTCTTATGTGGGGCACAGGGAAGTGATTAGAAAGATGTCAGAAAGAAAATCTACATCTACATTTGTTAAATGTTATAGCTCACATATCAATGCCGGAAACGATAGCTTGCCTCTTTTCTGCTAGTTATGATCTCCTCAATCATGGTCTGGCTAGATGAGTATGCAAGGGAAACAAGCTCCTGCCATGCTTTACCCCTCACTGCAATTATCCCCGTGTCAAGTAGTGCTCTACCATCATCTAGAATGGCCTGGCCCTCGACAAGCTCGCTCACTGTCGGCTTCTGCAGGAGATTATCAACCAAACAGAGAGAATAATTCTGCGCCTCGGTTCCATCCTTGGACGCCACCACCACTCCATGATTAGAGGCCACATCGAGCGTGGTCGGCGCAGTGACGATGCACGCAGCGTCATCGGGGAGGAGTAGGTTCGAGGCATCGAAGCACGGTAGAACATCCCCGGTCATTATGAAGATCCCACCTGATCAGGCTATATCAATCAAATGGAACCTATTTATTTCTCAGAAATTGCTAGTTTTCCCTGCAAAGTCTCAAGACAACCTTGGTTCTTGAATGCTTGCCTTGCGCTGGCTGAGACGGCGAGGATGTGGTCGAAGAGCAGCGGGACAGGCCCGTCGGGGTTGTCCCCGGCCAGGTAAGGCACCGGCAGGAAGGCCTTCCCCATGGGGTTCGCCCAGGGAACCCTCTTGCTGTCGCCGCCGGCGTGGAGCAGCAGCACGTGCTTGGTGGCCATGAAGCGCGCCACGGAGGCCGGCGGGATGGAGGAGCCGTTCGCCTCGGGGAGGAGACGGAATTCGGCGATCTCTTCCTTGGTGGCCTGCAAGAGAAATTCAGTTCAGATGTCAAAATTCTTCAGGTCAAGGGAGAAGAAATCTACCGACTGACTGCCAGTACAGCTCTGTGGCGCGAGCAGGCGAGGGAAAGGCGGAGCGAGGTAGGAGGGCCTGGCTGACCTGGGAGAGGAGGCGGCGGGCGAGGGAGGCGACGGCGTGGAGCGTGGCGGCGCCGGAGCCGATGCGGGCGCCGTCGGGGTCCGGGACGGCGAGGGCGGCGGTGGAGGGCGGGAAGCGGCCGAGGCGGCGCGCGCGCGCGAGCTGGCGGCCGTAGAGCGCGGCCTGCTCGGGGCTGGCGGCCGTGAGCGCGACGGCGTCCCACGGCGGCACCCGCGCCGGGTCGCGCGCCGACAGCCGCAGCCGGCACCAGGCCTTGCGCAGCACCGCCGCCGCCTCGTCCGCCGTGTGCGCCCTCCGCCGGCGCCGACGGGCCGGCTCCATCTGTGGATCGCTCGCTGGCTCGTTGGATTGGTCAGCCTCCGCGTCGCCCTCTTCGGAATTATGCGAGCCGACCGTGGACCTGGAGTGGCAGGCAGTGATGGTGTGTATGCCGCCGGTTCATGGGATTTTTTTTCTGGTGTGTCTATTTTTTGTTCAAGAGTACGCAAATTGCGTATCATATATTTTTATAAAAGACAGAAATTTGATTACAAGATCCTAAGTTGATGCGAACATCAACAAAGGCAGTCCTACACTCACACACTAAACTAATCTCTCACAAAACTGGTTTAATCTGCCCACTCCATAGCGTGCCGCTGAACTTCTGTTTTCGTAGCACAAGGTGGGAGGACGACATCAACTCAAACCTCTTGAAAAAAAGCTTATATTTTTTCATGTGATGTAATCATACAAACTCAAACCCTGTAGGCTTTGAATGGGCATGACATTTCATTTCTATTGTTCTCCTATTCTTGCGTTTTTACAATCCCGTGAATCAATCGGAGAGGCCCTAAAGTGTAACACCATCCTTGTTTTTGTTTAGTATCTTGTTGTTGGTGAAACAATGTGTGATTAGGAGCAATGTGACTATGATAGAAGAAAGTCTAGTAAGGCGAGCACAACAAATATTTAATTAGAGGGTTTGTACGACTTGCCTTATAGTGTGGGTCATCACACACCGACAAGATTGGCACGTTGGTGTTTTTGGAGTAGACTCCCTCACTACAATGGACCGCAACATAGTCTTGCATTAGGAGGGCGTCGAGGGTGGTCCGATTACAACCCCGAGTCATTTGAGACTCCTTGGCGCTCTCTCCAATTTTTTCTTTCTCGATTTTGGCCCTAGTCGTACGGCACTCCTTGGACTCGACCTTATAGCTCCCAAAACGAGTCATGGAGCACTAGTCCCCTTCCCTCGAGTTTATTCTAGTGAGAGTGAATGATTTACATGCTTGCGAGACTTTGTATAAGCTAGGGACCCTTAGCAGAGAACCAATGCTACACTTGAGATGGTAGGCGGAAAGAACAAAAGAGATAATCTTTAGTTCATGGGGCCATGGGGACTAGAAGGGGTAATGAGTCCATGGCCCATAGTGGACCAATATCTCCCATTCATCCATCCATCATGGTGAGTGTCGGTGTCAAAACCGGCGGATCTCGGGTAGGGGGTCCCAAGCAGTGCGTCTTAGGATCAATGGTAACAGAGGCAAGGGACACAATGTTTACCCAGGTTCGGGCCCTCTCGATGGAGGTAAAACCCTACTCCTACTTGATTAATATTGATGATATGGATAGTACATGAGTTGATCTACCACGAGATCAGAGAGGCTAAACCCTAGAAGCTAGCCTATGGTATGATTGCTGTTGTATATGTCTATCGACTAGCCTGGCCCCGGTTTATATAATGCACCAGAGGCCTAGGATAACAAGAGTCCTAGCCGAATACGCCGGTGGGGGAGGAGTCCTTGTCTTGATCGCCAAGTCTTGTGGATTCTTCCTTGTATGCAGCAGCTGTCCGGACTGGCCCATGAGTATACGGCCATGGGGGTCCTCGGCCCAATCCAAATGACCGGGAGACGACGCGTTGAGTACCCCCTAGTCCAGGACACCGTCAGTAGCCCCCCTGAACCGGTCTTCAAGTTAGGGATGCTCCTCGATTCTTCTGAACTGTTCTTCATCTTCGGTTGCCGGTCTTGAAAACTAGTTTAACAAATCTTCTCATCTTCTATCTTGAGGATCGCCGAAATGCATTCGACGAGTTTACACGTCGGGTGTCCGAGGAGCCCCTTTAAGTTTCCGGCCTTTATCAATGCCTTGTTATTTTTATGCCACACTTCGGGTTTAAAGTTGTTCCCAGGCGGCAGCGTCCTCTTGCGTCCGAGCTCCAACGCCGGACTGTATCCGAGCTCCAACGCCGGACTATGTATCCGAGCTCCAACGCCGGACTGTATTCGAGATGTCGTAAATCACCTTGGTTCAAAGAATTTTGAAGGAGTTTAGCCGAGCTTAATGTCGGAAATGCCCTCTATGGAGCCAGCCACTAGTGCCCGAGCTTTATGTCGGTCTACTTCTGAGGTGGTGCACCACCCCGAATGTGGGCCGATTTTTGTCAATATTTTTGATTGATGCAATTTATTCTCTGCCGAGATACATAGCGAGTAGCCCTCAAGGTGGGTATCGGTCTAAAACCCGAGATGCACATGAAGGATGACATAAGACCGCTGATCCCCGTAGCCGCTGAGACTCAGGTTGATTTGCAAAATCGGTCTGAGGATCAAGTCCTAGCTCGGCAGAATACTTCAGGACACAACAAGCGGCGTGCTCAGTCCTCAAGACTCAGGTTGGGTGCGGCCGACCAACCTGAGGATCAAAATCTCCTCGGAGACTGTATTACACTTAAAATTTTCTGCATTGGACAGGCAATGCAGTAGCCCCCGAGACACTGGTCGGGTGGCAACACCAGATCAGGGGATCGATGTGCCCCTTTAATATTTGTAAATAATAAGCCCGAAGCCCAGTAGCCCCCGAGCCTTAATGCGGGCACAGGAGGCCGAATTAAGGATCGATATCCATAGTAAAATCACAAATTATGTGTAATGACTCTATGTATCCAAGTACTTTATGTCATTAATGCTCGGATCCGCATTGTACAAAACTATGTTGACCGACCATCGGCTTCCACCTCCTCGGCCAATAGCCGAGGAGTGTTTGTCCTACTTTATAAAGCCTTTATGAGGGCAAAGATTTACAACAAACAAGGCAATCTGGCCATACGGTTTTATAAACAAAGGTACGCGGAGAGACATGTTATATTACTGTTTAACAGAAGAAATGTCTTCCAAAGAAAATAGTCCCGCTATCGGTTCCTTTCTTTGGGTTGTCATGCTAAGCATGATTATGAAACCTCAGCTCCAATGTAAGAGCAAAATATCGAAGATTTAGTTTGGGAGGCCAGTTAATAGCCCCCGGTAGTGTTCGGCGACAGTCGAGGTCAAGCCGTAAACACTTCGGCCATGATTATGAATGGCCCGTCGTTTAACGTCGTCATCGGATCGCCGACCAGTTTACGATTATTGTGACAGTCAGTTTTCGGCTTTCTCCACTGAGGTGCTTAACCATGTGAGTTGGAAGCACAATCGCAGTGGTTCTCCCTTTGCACACCTAGCCGAACAAAGCGAAACATAGGAGGCAAGTGCAGGAGCCGGGCAACCCAACTATTGACCGAAGACACAATTCGAAACCGATGCATATATAGCAATATCCAAGAATGTTTTTGCTGAATCTCTAAAGTTTTCCGGCGTTGCACTGCGAGACTTGTGCTGAAAACACACAAATAGTTTAAAAGTGCCATGGGCTCGAAAAGCCAAAAAACTTATTCAAATGGTTAATGTCCGAACTAGATCAAGTGTTCGGTGCCAATCCGAAAATTGGACTTTAGAGAAAAAAAAAGGTGCTTCTGCCGTGCTTTAACATGATACATCCTATCTCAAAACTTCAAGCGGGTCAGCCTACGGCTTCAACCTTCTATCCCGAAGGCGGAGTACTTCTTACTAGGCCAGTTTAGCAAACTAAACTCTAGCAGCTTTGAGAGAGAAATTAGGCTCCCCGGCTAGTGACCGCACACTTGTGTCGAAAAAAGGAGTGATAAATAATAATAAAAACTTTGCAACGACTAAGAAGAAAAACACTTATCATAAAACGGCTCATATAAATTTAAGAGCCCCCAAGTGACTTAGGTAAAAGAATGATTACATGTACCGAAGTACTTATATCATATCTATGTTCAACCGAACTTTAAACGCGTCTTAACCGACTGTCGGCTTCTCCCTCTTCGGTCAAGGACCGAAAAGTGTTATGTACTCCATCTGTCGAAAATATCGACGGTGTTTCCAATAACCAGGCAATCAGGCCATAAGGCTGTAACAGACAAAGCGCGCTCAGGGAACTTATGCTATATTACTGCAAAGTGTAAGAAGCATCTTCAAAGAAAATAGTACCCCCACCGATACCTTTCTTCGGTGCTCATTGTTATTATGAGACTTGTGCAATAGATTTTTTGTACTCATGAGTTCCGTTGTGTGCCGACCATGATTGAAAACAATAAGAGCGCTAGCTTTCGGCTTTACCCAGTCTGAGGTCCGGCTCGGGTGACCCGATCGTGACAATCGCAGAGGTGCTCCCTTTACTCCCTAGCCGAACAATCGGGAACGTAGGTGTAAGCACAGGAGCCAGGCAACCCAGCTTGCAAATCGCCTAAGTCAATATGGTGCATATTGTGGCGTAATACACGAACAAGGAACGAAGCCGTACAAGTATAACCATATGCAAGAGGAAAAAGCTTCATGAAGGAAGCCCCCAAGTAAACGGGGTATTTGAATTTGCGCGTCACAAACAAAGTTTGGACAAGGAAATTTTTACAAGCAACTTTTTTCCAAAAAAGTATAATGCTTGGCCGAGCCGAACACAAGTTAAAAATTTAAAACTTTGAGCATGAAGACAACTTAGCTGGTTAATGTGTTCGGTATTGATGACGCGGTCCGAGCTTGATGCGGGACAAGGTTCCATCCCCGAGCCGGTCTCGAGGTGGCGGAGCAAAGAGCTCGGCACTACGAAGTGGTGACATAGCACGGTCAATGAAGGATGGTAGGGTGATGCCGAAGTCCTCGACATGGGGTAATGAAGTATTGACGAAGCCCCCCGTCCAGCCGAGGTGACGCCAAAGGATATAGTCCGGCTGGATCATTTTCCCGTGCACAAAAAATAGTGCAAACCGAAGATAATAGTAATAAAAATAAAAATAAAAAAAATTTGTTGCATAACAAATAATTTATGCAAAGTGAGTAATAAAAAGAAATATGGCATGGCGCCGAAGTCGATGTCGATGCAGGGCGGCGGCGTGATGCGGTAAAGGCATGGCAAGGCCTGAATTCACAGATCGGTTCGAGTTCCGGATGTGGCGTTCGCCGGACTATGTATAGAAACTGACCGAACCACCATGCAAC